ACTTCCTTCCTCATGCCCCTCAGCTCTGGGCCTCACTGGTGCTGCACTGAACTCTAAGTTCCCTGTGGGCAGGGACAGGGTTGGCCTATTTACCACTGTACCTCTGCACCCAGTGTAGGGCCTGGCACTTAGAAATGGTTCTATCTGTTCCAGGAAGGAATAAACTGGAGTTCAATAAAGTGAAGCTTGATGCTCCCCAACCACAGCCCTTCATTCCTAACAGTCGATCTCTTTCACCATCACCCCCAGAATTGAACTTGTTTTTCACTAAGTGGAAGCCTTCTCACAAGCAACCTCTGCCCACAACCTCTCTGCACACCTTGCCCTCCTTCCTGACCCCACATTAGGGATAGGAGCCAGACCTGCTAGTTTTCCGTGGATTTGGCCAATGAGAAAGGCCCAAGACTTGGAAACACTCCTCCTCTTTCTCACCTCTCCATTCTAGCTTCTGCCCCTAGAGACACATAGTTACTTACATCAATTCTCTATTACTTTAGCCAATGGCCAGGAGATCAATTAGCTAAGAGTAGCCTCTTAGCTGATGGCAGTCTGGGAGAGGGAGGTAAGCGGGGAAATTAAGTTACCTAAAGGATGTGTGTGCACGTATGTGTGTGAAAGAGAGAAAGGGAGAGAGCGAGACCCCAATCTGAGGTCCCCTGGACTCCTGCAACTGGCTCCGCCCCTTCACCACCCCAGTCTCCTCTCCTCTATCTCCTGTATCCAATTCATGCACTTCCTAGAGAAGGAAGGAGAGCTGGGACGATCAGGCAGGAGGGGATATTCAGTCACCCCTAGAGCAGAAAGCACCCCTCCTCTGTTTTCACCTCTCCCTTTTCCCTTTTCCCTGCTATGTGGGCAAACTTTCCACACAGCAGCCCCCTGACTCCCTGTCTACCTGGAGAGAACAGAACCTTGCTGAAACCCTCCCCAGGGACTCCTTATCAATGGGTGTCACTGAAGGGGTGGAACAGACTCTGGGGATGAGGAAGCTCCCATGCTGGTCTTGGCTCTCCACAGGACCCCCCAATCCTGGCTCTGCTTGGTTTCAAATGACCTCTCCCTTTCCCTCTGTGTCCTAGGATCACCCACCCACATCCATGTCTCACATCAGCCTCTCACCTCCCTAGGGGCTCCAGGAGGCAGGAGGGAATATCAACCCCTAGGAGGATTTCTGTACCCTACTTCCCCTCTGGGGGATTCCTGTTCCCACTCCAAGGCCCTGGGGGCTACTCCTGTGGCCCTCCAGGGATTCCTGTCTCCCTATCTCCTGCTCCTCAGTTTGACCCAATCCTGAGAAAGACTGCTATCACCACAGCACACCCAGTCCCAGGATTTCCATTCTCTGCCCTCCCCTTCCTTCACTTCCAGGGTCCAGAAAAGAATTCCTGTTTCTCTCTCCCCTGTGCAAAGGCTCTGGGTCTCAGATGGAGGAGGGGCGGTGGCATAGGGCAGACTGGGCAACCATCTGCCAGCCCCCTCCCCTTGATGCTGCTCAACATTCCAGCCACATCTGCTGCTCCCACTGCCAGGGACTGATAAGGTGCAGCTGGAGGCTGGCACCAGCTGCGACTGTGCTCACTCCCCCAGCCCCCACCCAGGCAGCTGCACCCCCAGCCCTCCTCCATGGAACCCCTGCCCTGCCTTGGCCTGGCTGGCCTCAAGGTAGGGTGGGAGAGTGGAGCCTCAGACCCTGTTGCCCTGGCAACTGAGCATCCGACTGGGAAGGAAAGAAGATAGCCAGGGAAGAGGGGGCCCTGCAGTTGGGCCTTGGGTTGCTCTTTTGGTGCTCAAGAGGGAGCTGCCGAGGTCTGCTGTGGGCATACTCCCCCTGCTGCCTTTCTGCCTCTTCAGCCCCGAAGGATTTCTAAACTAGTTTGTCTCAAATTTAGTTGAGGTTCCCTGTATTTGACACAAACCCCACAAGCTGACTCAGGCACATCTAGGGGGATGAACCCTGGTCAGACGCTCTGTGACCACCAGTCTATCCCCTGTGGTGAAGCTGGATTCAGAAGCATATCTGGAGGGATCCCTGCCACTGCAGATGGCAGTCAGGGAAGCTAGGGGCTTTGAGGGACCAGAGCAGTCTGCAGCTGCAACTTCTCTCTCCCTGGAAGTGGGTTCTTATTGTTTGGATGGGAGTCGCCCTTGGAATCCACAGAAAAGTTTATATGTACCTATGTGCTCTCTACCTGACAAACACTTTCAGGGAAGGTGTGGACCTCTGTTAAGAACTCCCGCTCTCAAGGCTGAAGAAGACTGCCAAGACGTTCTACCCTAAGTCCTGACCCTACAGACAGATGTCCTGTCAGTGCCGCATCCACCCAGTGGCTAGATATACATCCCCAACACACCTCTGGACCTGGCAGAGGAAGTACATGAAAATCAGACATTAATTGTGAGACTAAGGGGAGGGGAGGGAGGGGAGCGGAGCACCAGGCAGGGAGAGTCTGAGCCCATCGGGACTGGGGAACAGAAGGAGAATGTCAAGGCCTTCCTTCTTCACCAACAAGCTGTCAGATGTGGAGTCACACCTGGAACATACCTTTGGGCAAAAGTTGTAGAGTCCTTGCCATGGAAAGGGGCTGCCAGTTAGGTCAGCCAGAGGGGATAGAGGGAGAAGGAGGGGCTGAGAGGTTTGATCTAGTCAGATTCAGGATCAGGTCTTTGACATGGGCTGAGCAACAAGGAAAACCTGGTCTTCTCTTGACAGCTAAGAGCTAAGAAATGCCACAGTTGGGCCTGTATGGTACTAGCCCGTGTGTCTCCTCCTCCTCCCTCCACCCCCCAGCATGAAGAAGAACTCAGATTACTCCAGAACATTGTGAAGTAATCATATCTCCATCGAGCTGCTTAGAACTCTGCCCTCAGACAACACAAACCAATCACATTTTAGTATCTCCATTACCAGGAACCAAACATGCCTTAGCATTACTACTTGCAATCCTTCTGGACACAATGGGAAAACATAGCCTCAACTGAGTACTTTCTATAGACAAACTTATCTCAATCTTATACCTTAGCATCTTCCCAGGTTAAGCCAAGCAATTCCCTCCCTCATCCAACACTACAAACTATCCAAGCTGATGAGGTTTCTCCTTTTTTGGTGGTCCCTTCTGCCTGCAGCTTGAGGTGTGTTTGGGATGGAGGAGGGCTTTAGCTTTCACTTCCACCTTTAACTACAGTTCTGCTACTCTTGGGAACAAGGTTGGAGGGTAAGCCTGAGAAGCCACTTGGTCTCAGGCTCTGGGGAAATCTCCTGTTGTGGAGAAGGAAAAGAGGTAAGGAAGTTGTACTTGCATCCAGGCTAACCTCATCATCTTGGCTCACCAAGGACTGTGGTTGGGTAACCTTTGTACAGTAGGACTGACAAATGCCCATGAAACTGGTCTGCAGAGCAGGGCTTAGAGAGATTAGGAAAGCCTGTGTAATTTTAGTAGGAAAAACCATGCATCCCATGGCTCCAATCTTTCTACACAAAACAAATATAGTTCATGTCTCCATAAGGCTGGGAGGAAGCAAGCAAGTTTGGAAAGAAATGATCAGGGAGAGAAGGGGAAATCTGAGAGTGGAGCGTTGGGAGCAGGCACAGAGTGCAAGAGGGCCTTAGGCGAGACTGGATTTTGAGAAAGCAATGAAAGAACTAGAGGTGAACACAGTGATTCCAGCACTATTAATGAAAAGGGCATAGTGTATTGGGACTTACTGAGATATGAATTCTACTACTGAGTCTGTCACTAACCAGTCAAGTGAGCTTGGGCAACTCACTCTACCTCTCTAGGTCTCAGTCCAAGCATTTATAAAATAGAGATGATATGGCTGATTCTACTTTACTCACAAATCCATCAAGGGGATCGAGGGACAGCCTGGCAATCATTCTGAAGAGTTACAAGTGCTATCCTCTCATTTGGTGTTGTTATTCATGCATGGTCTCTTTCCAGCCTCTGCCTGGTTCTTACCTCTGGCACATCAGATGCCAAAGTAAGCTCCCCCACACCCTCCCTGGGGTGCTTGCTTTGAGGCAGCTCCATCTGTGGGGTGTGGGGTTTGTGGTACATCTGCACCTTGAGAAGCTAAAGGATCCTCCAGTTCAGCCATGACTCTGCATCCTGAATCATCTCCCCTTCCTAAGGCTTGGCTCTGTAGCACTTGCTGGCAAGGGGTGGGGGTTGGGGAAGTGGGGAGTGAAGCCTAGTTAGACTGTGTGTGTGTGTGTGTGTGTGCGCGCGCGCGCGTACACGGGAGGGTTGACAGAGATAAAATGACATGTCTATTTAAGAGAGAGCTTCCCTGCCTTTCTATGTTGTGCAGTGCTTCTCAAACTTAGTGCATTCAGATCACCTGGGGATCTGTTGAAATGCAGATTCTGATTCACCAGGATTTCTGGTAGCATAGTGCCTAAGGCATTTGACTGCTAACCAGAAAGCTGGCAGTTCAAACCCACCAGCCACTCCTCGGAAGGAAGGTTGGGAGATCTACTTTCGTAGTGATACTGCCTTGGAAACCCAAGGACTGCCTCGGAAACCCAAGGGGGGCTTGCTGTGAGTCGGGTCTGACTCGACGGCACATAACAACAACAACAACAGGGCTGAGGATGCGGTGATGTTGGTAAAATTCTGCTTCTCTTTCAAGCTCCTAGATCTGATGCTGATGCCACTGGTCCTCAGACCTCACTTCAAATAACAAGACTGAATCTTACCCATCATTACCTCCAGCTCTGACACCTGTGGCCCAGAAGGTAAGATTGGTGAGATCTGTGTGTGTGTGCACGTGCACGTGTGTGCGTGCGTGCATGCGCATGTCTGCTTGTGTTGTATGCTAGACTCTCTTTCCTGCCATCATGGATACAAAGCTGAGGACAGGCCTGAACAAATGTGGCGCTGTGCTGAGCAACATCTCCTCCTGGCAGAAGTGGGACACACGTTCCCCCTCTCAGAGTAGCCTGCTCTCTCCTCTTCCTCTGGGGGTCAGGCTGCACGGCCCAAACCAGGGGACTCACTCACCACCTTGAAGTCTTCGGCGCTGCAAACCTCCCCCCGGAAATGGCAGGAGAGCAGCATGTCTCGAATGTCATGCCCTGCTCGGTCATAGAACTCGCGCATGTTGAAGGGCTTGGGCTTGAAGCTGCGGAAGTTGGCCTTGTCCTGCAATATTTCCAGCTGCTTTTCATCTGCCATCTGTGTGTCTGGTATCTCATACCTGGAGCCCAGGGTGAGCAGAGCACAAATCAGCATGACCTTTGGTTCCTGCCACCCTTTGGTCTCCAGCATCAAATACCCAATGTGCGGGGGGTAGCATCTCCCCTTGGGGATCAGGCCTAGGCACCAGCAAGGAAGGAGAGCTGAATATGTCCAGAGGACTTGCCACATGGGGTCTGAGAAAACAAGAGGGTCTGCAGGGCTGCCCAGGGACTGGGCATCTCAGTACATGGGCAGGAGGGAGCATGGATAAGGGTGGAGTGGGCAGAGAGATGGAGGCAGGAGCTATAGCTTTTATACTGTAGTCTCTACACTTTAAAGATGGTCTTACACTCCTCCACCCATCCCTGGAGTGAGGAGAAGGTCAGGACATAGTGGAGGAGGGGACATATGTCACTCCAGAGAAGGTGACAATGTCTCACAGCTCAGCCTGGGTAGGGGCAGAGCTATTTTGGACTGTGCTGGGATCAGAAATTAAACTCAAAAACCAAACCCATTGCCATCAAGTCAATTCTGATTCATAGCAAACCTGCAGGACAGAGCACAACTGCCCCATAGAGTTTCCAAAGCTATAAATCTTTACGGAAGCAGACTGCCTCATCTGTCTTCCACAGAGAGGCTGGTGGATTCGAACCAACAATCTTATGGTTAGCAGCCAAATGCCTTAACCACTGTGCCACCAGTGGTCCTTGGATCAGAAATTGAGTACCCTTAACTGGATGTTCAGCAGGATCCTAATTCGTTCGTCTGCTGTGAGTGGCAGGTTTGGGGAGGGCTGAAGGGTTCTATGTTGGGTTAGGGAGACAAGCACCCTGATGGGGTGCCTGGGAGCTGAGACTCATGCAACTCCAGGAGTGGGGCTGAAGGAGGGTGGGTGGGAGCTGCCCACCTGTTGTTGAGCAGGGCCAGCAGCTCTCCGGCGTGGTACAGGTCATTCTTGGAGACTTGGCTAAAGCGGAACTCATTGAGGTTGCACAGTGTGACGGCAGGGAAGGTGAGCTGGGAGGCGGCCACCTCATCAAGCTTGGTGACATGGTGGTAGTGGAAGTAGTACTGCACACGCTCCGTGCACACGCATAGCAGCACAGCCAGTGAGCCCAGGAAGCACAGGGCCCACAGTGCCCGCTTCAGTGACAGCCGCTCGTAGGAGAAGATGTGGGCCAGACCGTGCAGTGTGGAGCTGCTGGCAAAGGCCTGGATGCTCACCGGCTGGACACCACCCACCTCCTCCTCCTCGGCCTTCAGTTCCATCCTGGCCGAGGGGATCCTGGGGGGGGGGAGTCTGTTATTGTCCAGAATCCCAGTCCCATAGGTCACTGGCTCTAGGGCAGGAGAATACCCTGAAGTGTGAGCCCAGAAGGGCTGACAGAGGGACATACTCCCAGGACAGGGCTCCTCCAAATGTAGGGGCTAAGGATGGGGGTGGGGGTCAGATTAGGTTAAAGAAAATTCTTTCCCAGAAAAGCTTTTCCAGCCAGGGGAGTCATCAAAGGATGAGAGGGAAGTCCCAATGTTCCCACAGGCAAGCAGGCACAGGAGTTCCCTCCAGATGTGGGGTTACTCTGGGACAGGAAATGTCCACCCATCCTGGAGACAAGAACTCCCCCAGATAGGCAGAACTTGGGGTCAGGAGGTGTCCCCAGTACTGGGATCTTCTTTCCTTAACTAAACCAGGGCCAGAACTCCCCGCACCCCCGGAGGTGAGGTACATGTGGGGAGGGGCCCAGCTTGGGTCCTCACCTGCGGTTGTCTCCAGTTCTCATTTCGGTGCAGGCTGTGTGCGTGTATGTTTGGGGCGGGGGCTGAGGGTGGGGGTAGGAGTGGAGAGGAGCCCGTTGTGGACCGAATGGGGGGGGCGGTTCCCTAGGACAGCGAACCGTACCCGCCCCGGACGCAACCCCTCTCCCCCCCCAGTCCAGCTTCTCGTCGCAGCCAGATTCCCTCCCTGCTCGGCCCCAGCCCCCGCCCCCCGCCCCAGCCACCGCGCCGCCCCAGCAGCTAGGGAAAGGGAGAAGGAAGGAGAGACCCGGCTTGGGGCGCCGGGGAGCTCCTTGGCCAAAAGCAGGGGTATCGGAGACCCACCTGAGGGGGCTTCGGGAAGCCGGCAGCCAGCGGCGGGTCCTGGGGCGCGGGGCCAGACGCCGGCTCAGCGCCGAGCCGCCGAGGGGCTCATGGTTGGGAGCGGGAGCGGCGGCTGCCGCGGCACGCCGCGCAGCCCTGCAGGAAGCGGCCCGCCCGGCCCGGCTAGACTCGGCTGTGCTGCCCGCGCGCGCTCGATCGCTCGCCTTGGTTCTGTCCGCCGGCTCGGCTCCGCGCGGCGCGAGGTGCGCGGTGCTCTCAGACCCGGGATCTGCAGGGATCCATCGTCCGGCCGGGAGGCGGCAGGAGGGAGGGGGAGGGGAGAGGGTGCGCGTGCGCGCCTACGAGTGTCTGCGAGGGTGTCTCTGGGCCGGTGTGCGCGCGGGGCCCACGGACCCGGGAGCCGGACCGAGGGCTCCCTCCGCCAGCTCACCCCCTCCTCCAGGCTGCTCTCGGTGGCGCTGCCTCCCTCCAGTCCCGGGCCGTCTCCCTGCCTCCGAGGCTCTATGGCTTGTGTGTGTGACTATGTGGGGTTTGTGTGTGTGTGCGCGCGTGTGTGCGCGCAGGAGGGAGGGTGTCTGCCCCCAGCGTCCCCCTCCCCGCGCTGTCTCCTTCGGATCGATGCTCCTGCCTCTCAGTTGCTGCTTCCTCTGATGGCACACGCACACGCGCGCGCGCGCGCGCGCATACACACACACACACACACACACAGAGGGGGAGAGAGAGAGAAGCTCCGAGTCACACTTGACTGATTCGAGCACTTGCCGGTGTGGAGATACACACACATAGAGACCAGAGTCACACCCTGCCACTCATAGCCATACACACACCCTACAGACACCCACACATCCCAGAGGCCTGACACACATGGCAGGTATCGCTGCCTTACACATATTCACCTGTTCTTATCCCTGCTCCCCACTTACATGTGACACACACACACATATGTACCCAGACCTCATTGTTGTAGCCATGAGGTCGCCTTCCGGGGCGTTTGCAGCCCCTCAGCCCAATGTCTCTAAAGGAACAGGAAGAAGGAAGGAGAAGTAGCCAGAGGTCAAGGGAATTCGGGGAGAAGTAGGCAGATGGAAAAAGGGACAAAGAGAGGAAGGGGACCTGGTGAGGAAAGGGTTTAAGGGGGAACTGGACTCAAGGGTGGAGCAAGAGTCTGGGCCAGAACCCAGGTGGTGGAGCTGCTCCAGTAGCTCTCACCTCTCTCCTTTCCTCCCTCTCCTTCTCCTCTCTAAGAGGCCTTGGGGGGCCCTCCCTGTCCAATTAACCGAGAAGGGGCAATCAAGGGAAAGTTGCTAATTTGCTGATGCTCATTAGGGGCTCTTAGCACAGAGGCTGTTGAGGTCTGATGGTGTCAGATGATGAGGAGGGGGGTGCGGAGACCAAGATTCCATCTCTAGTGGCTCCTTTGCTCCACTTGCGGGCTGGTGCAACCCTGGGAGAAGGAAGGTGAGAGGCATGTTCTCAGGACATGATTGGGGAAGGGGGGAGGGTTTTAGGTAGAAGAAAAACTGTGAGGAGATAGGGCTGACACAATGGAAAGAAGTTGAATGAGAAGTTGTGAAGGTTTGGGGGCACGAGACACAAAGCATGTGAGAAGCCAGGGCAGAGAGCTTGAGAGCTCTTAAGAGAATGTGGGTTAAGGACTATGGAGGAGTCTGGGTGCCTGGATGTGGAGCAGCCAAAAAGAAGAGGGAATAGTCAGTTCTAGTCTTCGTTGCGGAGCTGTCCAGCAGCGCCAGTGGTGCAGGGGGCTGCCATGTACCTGGGTAGCCACTGGGTGGCAGGACTCTCCCAGACACTTTGAAACAACCCAAGGGGGCATTTGAAAGTAGGAATTTGGCCTAAGAGGACCCCAAACAGGGACCCAAGGGAGCATTAGAAGGAGCCTTGTTCTAAATCCTAAATGTCCTCAAGGGAAGGGAGGACTGTTTTGAAGCATCTGTAATTCTACCACCTCCCCACCTTCGCAGGCTGAGTGACACACGGAGCCTCTTCAAATGGCTGCAAATTGCTTCAGTCACCTGGGATGTAACTAAGGGAGAGGCGGGGGTGGAAGGAAGGTGATGAGGTGAGGTGGAGGCAGCCGAGCATTGATCGAGGCCAATGAGCAGTCCCAGGAGGATTCTGGGGGAAGATGGGAGGTGTGAATCAGGCAATGCAACTTCCAGACCTGTTCATGAGCATGGAAAGGCCACTTGACCTCTTGAGCCTCAGCTTCCTCATCTATAAGATGGGGATAAAACTTCTTTCACAGGATTTTTTTTTTTTTTTTTTTTTTTAGGATTACATGAGCTAAGCCATGGAAAATGCGTAATACTTTGGCTTATACTTAAATTCTCCACAAATAATGGCTATTAATATTAGTATTTGAATCCAGTGTGAAAGCATCCAGCCCAGCTAAATCAGAATAGAATCTAAGACAGTGTTTCTCAACCCAGGCTGAATTTTTTAATCACCTGGAGAGCTTTTAAAAATGCTGATAACATGGCCCCACCTTAGCTGTTAAATCAAAATCTCTGATGTGAAATTCTGGGGTGGGGCCCAGATATCCCAACTTTTTAAGACCAGCAGTTTTTGAGAACCTTTGTCATTCAGAATCCATGGGTCTGAATTACAGGCCCTCAGCCTTGGGAAGTTCTTTCTTATGCACAACCTAAATCCTCCATGCTGTTGTTTCCTTTTCAGTTTAGGTGAGATGGATCCTCTTCATCTGTACATTTCAGACCTCTACTGAGGCTTTTTCTGTGCCAGACCCCAGGATTGGCCCTGAGAACATGGCAAGGAGTGACATGGTCCCTGCTCTTAAAATCTCCCAGTGTCAAAGGGGAGAAGAACATGTTGACAACTGACTTTAGTACAAAGACTGAGAGCAAAATAGAGGGATGGGCTAGGGCTGCCAGCATAGAGCAGCAGAAGGGGCAAATCATTCTGTAAGGGTTTATGGGGCAGCGAAGAGGAAAAGGCGAAGTTGGCACTGCTGAGACTTTGATAAGATGACCCTTACAGGATCCAAGGACTGTGATTAGTGTCCACAGCTTTCTGCTTCTCTGGGCCCACCCACCCACCTCTTTTCCAGATTGTGACAGATCCTGGTTCCTTCTGCATCCTTCCAGCTTCTAGTCCATAGTTCCTTCCTCATCTCTGGCCCCTGCAGTCCTTAGACCTTGGTATTCTCTCTCCCCTGGGACTAAGACGGAAAAGGGCCTGGAGATAGTCTCCTATGTGAGGCATCTATCCAGGACTCTCCCAGGGCTTTGACAATGTGCTGACCTGAATTCAAATCTCAGCTCTGTCACACCAGTGCTGTGTGATCCTGGGCAATTACTTAACCTGAGCCTCACTTTTCTTCACAAATCATAACATCGGGCTAATGCCCACCATACTATTGTTATCAATAGTGGCAAGTATTGCTATCATCCCTGAAAAGCTGATGGGGGCAAATTCCCCATGGATGCTTCCCTTGCAGATGGCCCCATCTGTTGTGGGTGCAGACGCACCCTCCAGCCTCTCAAAGACCCAGGAGAGGGAGACAAGGCCCCCTGGGAGTCCTAGGAAGCTCTTCTCCGCTCTCCCGTGCGTGAAATCACACGCGCCCCAATCTGTCTGCATCCACTTCATTTGCTAGCTCAGCAAATGCAGAGATAATTAAGGAGTTAATTAGCAGGCGGTGGAAAGGGGCTGGGGATCTGAGGCTAATAGAACCCATCAGCACACCCCCCCTCCAGATTCCATGTTGCCCCAGTGACCCTCATTTTCTCCCCCTGCTTTTTCTCTTCTCCCATCCAAATGCTCCTCTTACCATGCTCCACCATTTCTCTGCTAACCTCATCCTTTCTCTCCCTGCCCTTTGCTGTCTTTTCTCCCTTCTCCCTCATTCCTCTAATATCATCTCTCTTCCTCCACTCCTTTTTCTCCTTTTCCCACCCATGCCATTGCCTTTCTATCCTTGGAGACTCACTCCTTCTACCTCTCCTCCCATCCTGGCCCCCCTTCACTCTTCAACCTTCCATCACCCATCCCTCTCCAACTTCGCTTTTAGCTCTCAGTGAATGGCCTTGTTCACTAGATCATGAATGACAGTGAAGCTCCATATCTGCTATAGGAGTCAATGGGTTCAAGTGTACCTGCCAGTCCCTGCCTCTGCAGTCCTGAAGGGGGTTCCTTGGGTCCTCATCCTCTCTTGGCTCTCTGGGGGTCTTAGGCCTCTCTCCTGTGTTGGTGCATCTCTGAAGAGAGGTAGGTCTCTTCCTACACTGCTGTCTTTCTTGGGGTCTTAGCATCCAGGATCATGCCAGACCCTTCTTTTCTTCCTCAGCTGCTAACCAAAAGGTTGGCAGTTCCAACCTACCCAGCAGCTCTGGAGGAGAAAGACCTGGTGATCTACCTCTGTAAAGATTACAGCCCAGAAAACCCTATGGAGCAGCTCTACTCAGCACACATGGGATCACAATGAGTCGAAATAGACCTGAGGGCACCTAACAACAGCCATAGGAGCTCTGTGAAGAAACCCAAGGGGGGTGGTGTTGCTATAAGTCGGATCCATCTCCATGGCAGTGCGTTTGGTTTTTGGTTTCTTCTAGCACATGGCCTGATTTGTGTGTCATCGTGTCACTTGAGAGGTCACAGCTTTGGAAGGGAGGGATAGTCAAAGAGACAATATACAGAGAATAAGACTCATAGCGTTCCCTCCTTGGGTTTCTTAGGCAGTATCGCAATGGAAGTAGATTGCCCAACCTTCCTTGCTATGGAAGTAGATTCCCCAACCTTCCTTCCGAGGAGTGACTGGTGGGTTTGAACCGCCAGCTTTCTGGTTAGCAGTAAAATACCTTAGGCAGTATGCTACCAGAGCTCCTGAAAATAAGACAGACAGCAAGAAAAATGTGGAGAAACTGAGGCCAAAGCCTCAAGAAAGGGCAGATGGGTGCACACTACCGAGAGGAAGTGGAGAGAGAGACAGACTGAGACTGAGAGAAGGGTAGGGAGAAATGAAGAAATAGACATTGAGATAGATTCTTCCATACCTTAAAATTCTGGGTCTTTGAGAG